GGATTTTGATGCTCAGTTGGTCTCACTGTAAAGAGACTATGAAATTTGACTTATTTATAAAATGGCATTTAGTTAAATAGAATAAAAACATTGCACAATTTTATTAATTATTCTTATTTAAAAGAATAATTACCAAATAACTTAATTATGAATAAGTAATTCATTTAGAGTTTTGCGAATATATAAAAATAACAATGAAATCAGTTATAAAACTGATAAAATGTTATTGGGAATTAAAAAGCCTTTAAAGAATTGTCTTGTTGTTTTTCTGTCACTGTTTTCAGGGCCACTGCAGTTTTACCAGCAGCGCAGAGGAGCCACTGGCTGCAGTATGCCTGATGCATTAAAAAACTCGAAGGCTGAAGGTACTTATGTGTAATAATCACAATGATTTCCTAGAATGTTATTTAGCTTTATATTTATTCAAAAATTCAAAACACTTGCAGTAAGAAAAAAAACATGTCAAAGCCGAACAGGAAGAAACTCAGAAAATGAAAACTAGGCTTTAAAATAAAAAAAGCAATTAAATTACTTTCTGTAAGAACCTGATCTCATGTTTTCAACTGAGAAGCAATAATTAATTTTTGCATTTCTAATACAGTTGAGCAAGTGACTTTGTTATTGTCAAAATAACTAAAGAATGCTTTAACAGCCAGGTTTTAAATGTAGATTATGTGTCTGTTACACAATTGGGAACTCCAGATGGGGCTCCAGTAATATCTAATTTCATATAAATTTAAGGACTCCCATCTTAAAATATTTTCCCTTTCACAGGATTGCACAGCCAGTCCAAATGTGCATGGAACAAAGCAGAAGTTCAGGCTGTAGAAAAACACTTGATGAGTTTCATCAAGAAGCACAAAATACCTCAAAAAGACGACTGCGTTCAGTGCCTCGAGGCCGAGCCGCACGCGCTGATGAATCGTTCGTGGAAAAGTGTGAAGTACTACGTGAGAAACCGGATCACAACTTTGCGAAGACAAACCGGATCTTCCAAAGAATTATCAAAGAGCAGAATCGCTAAAAAGAAGCATAAGCCATGGCAGAGTTCTGGTAACATCTGTATTTTGTTGATAATATCTATGTTCTGTTGCGCAACACGCAGTGATTAAAGACAAATATGGTGAATCGCGTTCTCACTAGAACCAGGAAGATAGAGCACATAACACCAGTTTTAAAGTCCCTCCACTGGCTCCCTGTAGCTCAAAGAATAGATTTTAAAATACTGTTGTTAGTTTATAAATCAAACGCTTTAGCACCACAATACATCAAAGATCTGCTGTTGTTGTATCAACCTTCCAGACCTCTCAGGTCTTCTGGTTCTGGACTGCTTTGCCCCAGAACCAGAACCAAGAGAGGAGAAGCAGCTTTCAGCATCTATGCACCAAAACTTTGGAACAAACTTTCAGAAAACTGTAAAACAGCAGAAACCCTGACTTCTTTTAAATCGCAATTAAAAACACACCTGTTTAGAATTGTTTTTGAAATGTAATATGTAACAATGTATTGTCTATTATATGTTGCATGACTTTGTGTTCTTGTGTTTATGATGTAAAGCACTTTGAAATGTCTTGCTGAAATGTGCTATACAAATAAAATTAGATTGATTGATTGATTGATCTTCAGTGACATCAGAGGCTCCAAATGGAGAAGTGGAAGCCAGAGAAAAGTCCAGTGCAGGTCCCAGTTCAGCATCTGGTCTCTCAATGTCCGAGAAAGGAAACGGTAACTATGGTAACATTCACACTGCAGGTCTTGATGCTCAATTCAGTTCTTTTGCTGAAAATCAGCTTTTGTTTTGATATTGCTTTTTTTTTTTTTTTGCATAGTCATTCATACTACTGCTTCTAAGCTTATATGTTTTCAACTGAGAATCAGAAATTATTTTTTGCATTTCTAATACAGTTGTGCAAGTACCTTATTATTCTCAAAATAACTAAAGAATGCTTCAACAGCCAGGAACATTTCAGCCAGGTTTTAAATGTAGATTATGTGTCTGCTGCACAACTGGAAACTTTTCCAATGGAGTATTTGGGGCCACGCAAATTCAAAAAAAAAAAAAGTATGACATTAAAGTCATAAAGTCAAAAGAGTAAAGTCGCAGTATGCGCTCTGGTCGAACAGATTTCTTTCATAAGTTCATAAATATAATTCTCAGCCGTTGTTTACATTCGGATTTACTGTGTCTTCTGCTTTTTCATGTCTCATATAAATTACGTAAAAGTTGGATAAAATGCAACATAACTGTTCAAATGTCTATCTAAGCACAAATTGGATTTTTTTGGGTGGATGAAAACATCAGGAGTTAGTTTTTTATTTTAATTCCCATTTTATTTAACATATAAGTTAATTAAACACTAGAAGATAAAAAAAATAAATCAATTAAATCATTTGAGTTTTTTTTTTTTTTCTCACCAGGCTCAAACTCGCTCCACAAACCAAAACCTAAATGGAGCGAAGCTGAGGTTTGTGCCGTAGAAAGACATCTGATGCGTTTTATTGAAGAGCACAAGCTTCCCCAGAAGGACGACTGTACCCGGTGCCTGGAAGCCGAGCCATGCGCGTTGAAGAACCGCTCCTGGAAAGGTATAAAAGATTACGTCAGGAACAGGATCACATCTCTGCAGAGACGGAGTGGATCTTCCAAAGCGCCTTCAAAAACCAAGAAGAAGTCCAGGAAGAGGACATCACAGAGCTCTAGGAAAAACTCAATGAGTAATTTCCATCTTTCAACAAAAACAAACGTAGCACTCTTAAACAAACTGCTCATTCTTGTAAATACTAAGAACTTTATTTCATTTTTATTTTTTTTACCAGGGGGATTACAACCTCCAAGTGGAGAACAACCTGCACCAGAGCATCAGGATGCTTTTTCCAGTTGCAGCTTTGGTTCGTCAAATCTTTTTCTACCACAAACTCATGCAGCAACAACAAGCTGCAGCATGAATGCTCCTGCTAAGCCCCGCAGAACAAGAGAAAAAGGTATTTGTACTGAATTATATCCCATCTTACCCAGATAGTCTGTCTGTAGCACCATGGCAAAGAGGATAACCTCCTTTTTTGGCATTATGATGTTAGCTGTGAACTACATCAAATTATGCGATTGATGTCAACAAAAGGTGTCCGTAGCAAAATTTTAAGCGCATCATAAATGCTGGACTTCATTTCCTGAACATTATGTTGAAAGTGATTTTCAAATAGAATAACAAAGAATCACAAGTGTTTCTCTCAACTCATCTCACCATATTTTGATTAATGAATATCATTTCTCTCCTTTTATTCAAATGGGAGCAATCATACTTGCTAGAAAAATGTCCAAAATTTTCCTCAGATCACAAACAAGGTTTTAAAACACAATTAACTTTTAAGATGATTAAAGCTCTAATTTGAAAGATTGATTTTGTACTCTTCTTAATAACAGCGCAGTTATTATATTTAGAGCTTATTTCTTTTCGTTTTGGTTTATTCAGCCTCTCCAGGTCTGCAAAAGAAATCCAAACATATGTGGAACGAAGCAGAGGTCCAAGCCGTAGAAAAACACCTGATGAACTTCATCACAAAGCAAAAGATTCCTCAGAAAGACGACTGCGTTCGGTGCCTCGACGCCGAGCCTCACGCTCTAAAGAACCGCTGTTGGAAAGGCGTGAAGGACTACGTTAGGAACAGAATCACTTCTCTGCAGCGACAGAGTGGCTCTTTAGGGACCGCTTCAAAAACCAAAAGATCCAGGCAGGGCCAGCCTCATAAGAGTTCTGGACAGGACCAGCAGTTGTAGGTGTTCTTTGGTGTTCTAACAGATGTTTTGAAAAAAATGCGGTCCATTCCCATCAATTTACATAAGTACTTAGTTTATGTTTGTATCTTGTTTGTCTAATTCCCATCTATTTATTAATGTACTTTGTTGGATTGGGGTAAAAAAAATCTGATAACTGTTTCTGTTAAGGGTTTCATTAGTCTGTTGTTATAAATGTTGCAAGACTAGAGTTGGAGACCACCTAGATTAACGTTTAGATTGCTGTATGTTTTTTTTTAAAAATCATTCTATAAAAGTAATTTTTTTTTTATTTTAATTAAAAAGCAGTTAAATTATGCACTTTTGTTTACATAATTTTAATTTCGAAGATAAAAGTTTTTTGCTTTTCATATACAGGTTGTCGTGCATCACAGTGTGTTGTTTTTTTGTTTGAATTCCACTTACAAATTTAATAATATTGTAAACGTTTCTAGACTAAAAAACTGAACTGGACGGTCTTGTTTTCAACCCTGTAGTTAACTTTTGTGCACTTACAATTTTTATAATAAACAAATCAGTTTTCACCATTGTATATTTAGTGGGTTTTTTTTTTTATTATTGTCATAGAATAATGAATATATCAAAAACTTTTCCAACCTTCTTCCACCAAGCTCAGCCCACAGAAGTTTATTTTTATGTAGGGTTTTTTTTTATGGTATAAAACAGCCGTGTGAGAAATTTTGGTTTGTAACTGATGAACCATTTCTGTGCTGATTTAGATGTATTATTTACAACTAAATAAATAGTTGTAAATAACTACAACCAAAAGTTGTAGTTGTGTAAATGTGGCCTTTGAATACCACATTAAATGGCCCAGTTGTGAACTGTCTTCAGTTACTTGTAGATAAAAATCTATCCATTTATGATTTTGTAGATTTAAAGATTCCACAAAGTGAATCTTTGAATCATACAGGGTACTTTTTTTTTGTTTGTCTTCTCAGTTCAAGGTCATCTTGTAGTGGCCCATACCTAAGGTAAAAATAATGTATACATTAAAAAAAGCTAAATGTAGCGTTGAATAATTTATTTTTTTCTCTTCAAAATTAGTGTATCAAGAGGTGTAAACATAGTTTCTTCCGAAATTTTGTTAAAATCTATACATCACCTCATCAAGTCAGCTGCTTTAGTCTTTACTTGTGGAATCGTTTATTTTGAAAGGACAACCGGAAGCGCGCTGTATTGATTCTTACTTTCCGTGATGCTAACGTTGCGGTTTCTGGACGAGGCTGGGTAGTGTCTGGTCCAAAACCATGAGGTTGTTTTTATCTTGATTAGGTTCATATTCCCATACAACATAAGGCCAGGTGTTTGAGATCCGTTGGAGCTGACGGGAAAATGAAGACACCGACATTAGTAACGTTCACGGACACCGAGGCAGACGGACTCTCCTGTTTCCGTTGATGCCAAACGGTACTGACTCCTCGATCTGTTCACTCACGCTACATATGTCTGGCTTAAGAGTTTTCATTTTATTTGTATGCTAATTTGGAGTAGGTGTGTGTGTAGAGCCTCAGTTTGAGGACCTAATTTACGACAGAAACGTCTCTGTCATCGGAGAGTCTCTGCTGGCTAGCTAGCACAACTAAGAAGCTGTAATAAAACCATTAAATAATCCCACTTTAGTTTTATTTTTACTGTGATAGCATAGCTTAAGATGTGGCCAAAGTTGTCACTATATAACATTGTTATTTTTGCATTTTAAATGTTTACTAGGTTGGTAGACATGGGGGTTATAATAGGTTATTCAATCTCAAAAATGTCTATAAAAACTATATCGCAATAAGTATTGGCCTACTTGCCTTTACATACATATTGATATTTTATTTTAGGCAGATACTGCTTAGTTTATTTTGGTAAGGCTTTTTCTAAAGGTTAAGATTTTTACTATAAAGCATTTGTGAGGTCAGACACTAATGTTGGGTCACAGTCTCTTCTTCAACTAATCCCAAATATTCTCTATTAGGTTGAGGTCAAGGCTCTGGTGCACTGACCTTTGGAAAATGAAAGAGTTTTCTTGTTATATGTTTCTTTCATTTGAACTAATGGGGAAAAGAACCAAAAACATATTAACTCTGCTGAACTTTACATGTTGTCAGAAGCAGTCAGAAAATTAATTTGATCAGGAAAATCAAATATTTACACAAAGGGTGTGTGAGAGACTTTTCAAAACATAACATTTCGTTAGATTTTTGTTTACTTTGTCTCCGCTATGTAGACTGCTATCACAACACAATGCATTATTAGTAACAGTAATAAATTATTTCATAAAAAAGCGAGTTGAAACTGTCTTCTTTCGTTCATTTGTATTGTTTTCTCTACAAAGTGTGGTGCTAGGAATGTTTGAAAACTTACCATGAAAAAACTTGAAAATTCCTTGAATTTTACTGTGGAACACTGTATGAACCCTGAAGAAAACTGAAATGAAACTGTAAAATCTGGTCAAAAAGAAGAAACCCTAAATGTGCCCAGCAACTGATGCATGAAAAAACCTTTTCAGAGAGCAAGGAGAATATATTTTGAATATTAAATGTTCTCTGTTATGCTTTGTTGTCTCATCAGGTCAAGCCTCCAATGAGAAAAATTCTGATTTCTTATTTTTATGGGGGATGATGGACGTCCCGTCCCCTAATCAGAGGCACCCTCCGTGTCCACTGTGGGCGGTCCAGAACGGCTGGTCCTCTGATGCGCCTGCAGGACCTCTCCCCGACCTCCAGCAGCTCAGCCTGGGCTGTGAACCCAACCAAAACCTGAGCTACAACCACCTGCAAGCATCTGGCGTTTACTCTAAAAGTGATGTTGCTACCTTTTCTACCAGGAGCAACTCTCATCCCAGCATGCAGAATGTTTGTAAAGATTATCAGAGCATTCCTGATATTTTATCCCCTATTGTTCAAGAAAGGAACATACCGCCATGCTCTCTTCCATATAATGAAGCAACGCAGCAAGTGCAACATTATTCCGCTCCTAATGCTTACCAAGCAGTAGATCCCTCATCATATTCTCCACTTACATATCGAAGTCTTCTGAATCAGCCACCAACTCAAAATCCTCTTCCCGCTAGCTCTCCGTGTGTTGACCCTCAGTTAAACCATAATCAACATCTTGCATCCGACGGGGGAAACTCTGGATCTTTTGTTGGATTCAATGAAGCGCTGACCTCAGCCAGCGCTCCCATCCAGAAGCAGCCTCTGTGGAGCGTTGCAGCACTTTCTAAAGGTGAGCTCTGCGTGGGTTTGGTCATAAGTAACATTGAAGGAATCAGAATAAAACATCCAAAATGTATTAAAATTAATATGACTTCTCCAACCAGAATTTTTATTTGTATTTTTTCAGGAAGCATAAATGACTTTGTGCCCACTGCATCTCCTCCGGATCATAATTTGACACCACAGGTTGGTGAATGAACATTAAACGTCATAAATGATAGCTGACAAAGTCATGTAAACCAAAACTGAACCCTGGGCTTTTCTAACATATTTGGACATATGGATATTTAGTATGAATTACTGCAATACTTAAAGAGTTAAGTCATATAAGTAAACAGAAGATGTGTAATGAAGTAAAACTTCAGATGGAACGCGATTAAAATATTTCATTGAGTTAATTGCAAGGTCTGTCAATACATTTTAATTGAAAACCATCTATCACTTCAAAAACCATTTTGTGTTGCTAAATTGTTGATTAAATATATATATGAGCTCAATGCAGAGACATAAAGGCTTTACACTCCTCAAAGTTGAAATTTGCTCGACTGTCAAAAGTTTTTTTTGCATGTGAATTGATTGAATGTAAGGCTGGAAGATAAAAATCAATTTAAGTTCATTAAAGTATTTGTTTTCTCTGCAGTCTCCCAACTCTGAGTCTCGTTATGGCCTGAATCCTGAACTCTTACCAAGCGCTGTAAGTTTGCTTATCTCAGTTCTTTAATTTCTCTCAAATTTTCAGCTGGTTGACCATGAATAATTAATTCTTTGTCATTACATTTGAATATAGTGAAATGTTTAAAGGGAAGCTGACAGACCTCTCTGTCTCTGTGAAGGTAAAGGGGATGGCAGAGGACAGAGCGGAGTGGGATGGAAAAGTTTTCATCTCGGAGCATTTTTCTCGCCTGCCTCCTCTGCCGACCACTTCCTGTGTCATAGAGGACAGAGGTGAACAGTTTCTGTCTCAGACATTCTCCATCATGGATTTAATTCAATAATGTAGCTTTAGACACATGAAACTTTGCATTAGTAATTTTATCTGCTTGCTGCAGGTAACGTAAGCCCCTTGGCCATCCGCTCTGTAACTTACTGCGTCCCCAGTGACGGCCAGACGGCGCTGCTCAGCCGACTGCCACTAGGGGTGCTAGTTACTCCCTTCTTCAATCAAAATGAATGCCTGGTCAGTTTTTATACTTATTGATGTGAGATCATCTTTGTTGTTAAAGTATTTTCCAGATGAAGACACGTGTGTGTTGCCGCAGATGTCGATTTAAAAAAAAACTTTTTCTTCCACAAGAAGCCGATCCCTCTATGCAAACATACGGATTGCGTCGTGGGCTGTCGTTGGTGCGGCGCCTCCATGTGCCCAGCGATGGGCTGGCAGGACTGTGGGCAGAGGTTTCACTGCCCCTTCTGTGGGAAACTCAATGAAGGTAGAATTTAAAATCTGTTTGTTTTAGAGATAACAATAGAAACATCTGACACTTTGTTCAGTACTTAAAAAAGGGTGCTTGAAATCCTTGAAAACGCTTTAATATCAATTATGTTATCAAACACAGGATAAAATAGCAAAGATAACATTTCCAGTCATATTGTCCATTTTGTTTTGTTTTTTAATTTTCCATCAATAACTTCAATTTATCATTGCAACAGTAAATCAAATTTCTCATACAAATTTTTTTTTTACGATAATTGATAAAGAATAACTGGTACAATAAATACCCTCGCTTCTGTTAAAGTAATTCAGTTTGTTTTAATTGATCTAAATGGTTATTTACTTTTACTCTGCTCTTTTGGGTCTCAGTGCCGTGGCAGCAGTATCAGCCCACCAAAGGAGCGGAGGTCCGGGTTGACAAAGACAAGAGGCCCGAACTCAGCATGGGGTCGTATGAAACACTGAACTCAGAGAAGGTCAGCTTCCCACTCTGCAGTTTTGGCTTTATTTGCATTTTCCCTTCTGAACCTGCTCCTCAGCGAGTTCTTTTTTAATGCATTTGTAGTTTCATAAGATCATTTATAATGTAAGTGATTTTCCAGAAGGAAACAGGAGTTTAAAACTTGTTTCTTTCACTCCAGGGTGAAGCTGCTGCACTTCTTCTAGCCATAGATGTTTCTGCCTCTGCACTGACAGGAGGACACTTAGAATTTGTCACTCAGCAAATACACACATTGCTCACCTCACTGGTCAGGTAAGCACATTTCTTACAGAAATATTCATTATTTTCTTTTGGTCACATAAAGTTCCTCTTAAAATACATTGTAGTTTGACATATTTGACAAACTGAGAAAAACTCAAAGGATATAAACTCTTCTACATTATCTGTAGTTTTTGAGCCAGTTTGGAAACATCAGGTTTGAGCGTTGTTTTTTGTTGTTTTTTTTGGGAAAGGGCTTGTAGAGAGGCAGGAGACGCTTCGTCAAATCTCCGTGTGGGTTTGATGACGTATGACAGCAGGATCCACCTGTACGACCTCAGTCCTGACCTTTCCCGTCCTCACATGCTGGTCATCGCTGAGACGGAAGACCTGCAGCTTCCTGTGAGGGAGAGGCTTCTGGTGCCCCTCATAGACTGCATACAAAGTATAGACAGGTAAGGAAACATATCAGCTGATCTGACAGTTACGTTCTTGTTTTTTGATTTTGATTTGATGATTTTTTTTGCACATTTTTCAGAGGATTCGAAATTCTGCTTGTAGATTGTCCGATGTAGCTCTTTAATTGTAATTTTTCTGTGGCTTTAAACTGTCCTGTTCCTTTCTTATATGGGAAGTGGAGCTCTAGTTGACAATTAGTTTAGTAATCGATTAATAGTTGGATAGCAAGCAGCACTTAATCAGGGATATTGTACAGAATTTGATCCAGTTGCTAATCTTACTTGCTTATTTTGTTTACAAGAAAAATCAGCAAGAACATTTATAGAGATTTGTTTGTTTCTTTTTTTGCATGTTGTGTTTATTCAAAGAAAATGTGTTTGGCATCGGTAGAACGTTTTACTGATAAAGTAGTTTTTTTAATTTGTCTGCAAAATTTTGGGCCCAGTTTTGACTTAATTACTGCTCTGAAAATGTTGCTTTTTCTGTAAGTAGCCTTGTTGTTGAGTCTATATACTCCACTTCATAATTAAGTACTCAAATAGGTCCCCATTATTTCTGTAATAAACTCATAGTGGTTAATCATTTCAGCCCTAAAGGGAGATTTAAAACCTCCCATTAGGGCTGAAATGTGCTCCATCATTAAGTAAGAATGATGCAGCACAAATGGTTTATAAATACAGCAATATCTTCCAGAACCAGAAACAACTGAGATCATTTCTTTTGTCTGCAGTGTGTTGCAACTCATTCCTCAGTTCGGGGCTGAGTGCGGTGACTCCACTGGACTTCCCATTGAGCTTCCTGTTAAAGCAGGCCTGGCTGTACTGCAGGTAATCAATCAATAAACATATTGCTTACTCGCTATGCTATTTTCTTCCTAAATGCTAGAGATTTGCAAAAACTGAGATTATTTTATAAAACATATAGGGCCTGAAGTGTCCAGGGAAACTGCTTATCTTCCACACAGCTGGCCTGATTGAGACAGGACACACCAACTCTTCCTCAGGGTTCTTTGGGACCAGCAAACCAAAGGTAAATCTAACTATAACAGTCTATACATTAGTGACATACATTCAATTCATGAAACATTTCTTCCCTCCCTGTTTGTTTTCTATAGTCCATCTTTCAGCCATCAGAAAAAGCCGTCTCATTGGCTAAAGAGTGCATCAGCCAGGGCTGCGGCGTCCACATGTTTGTTCTCTCCCAGCAGGATGTGGGCGGGGCTTGGCCGGGCCACATCCCATTTCTAACTGGTGGAGCTCTGCACACCTACAGCTACCTCCAGGTACACCAGTAGCTCCGCCCACTGTGGCACTGTGGTCTTTTTTTAATACTGAGAATTTAGCTGATCTTCAAGCCATTGTTAAATTAGTTTTTGGTAAATGGACTCAACATGTGTGGTTGTTTGTTGACGCAAACATTCTTAATTCACACACTGTATGTGTGAATTATTATCTTGAAAAACCAGGATATGCTTTATAAAAAGATATATGTATATTCCGTATTTTCTGATCTATAAGTCGCAGTTTTTTTCATAGTTTGGCCGGTGGTGCGACTTATACTCCGGAGTAACTTTTATATGTATTTTTCTTCTTTAATATGTATTTTATGGCTGATGCGACTTATAGTCTGGAATATACGGTACTTACATTGATACAATTGTTGATTTATTTAGCTTTTGAGAGTGACATACGTTTTTAACAAAGTCTTCATACTGCTGTACATTGTGATAAAAAATTTCAGATTGTGCTTTTCTCACTTAGTTTAGTGAGAAAAGATTAATTGGATTAATCGTGATTAATTGATTATTGAAATAATTGTCAACTAAGCTACTAATCAATCTTTAACTAACATATACAGATCGAGAAAAAATAATCTGCTGATATGAAAACATAATCAGAGCAGTAACTAAGTCAAAACATTTTATATTTAAGATAAAAAAAAAACAAAAATTTCGTCTCTAAATACCTTCTACTCAGAATTCCTGTGAAGTTCCTCAAGTACATCGTTTCATGTTAACTTTTGTAACATTTCCATCCCAGGGCGACCTGGACAGAGAGCGTTTCAGCGTGGACCTGAAGCGGGTCGTTGAGACGGAAACGGGCTACAAGGCTGAGCTCAGGATATTCGTCAGCAAAAGTGAAAGAAGACTTTGATGTTTTCATTCCATCACTTTTCTTCATAAAATGTGTGATGTGACTGGTTGTGTTTGTGTGGCCAGATTTGCGCGTGTCTGGTTGCTATGGGATGTTTGTCCCCGGTTCACACCCTGAACACATCGCCTTGGCAACGCTCCACAGCAGGACGACTGTGGCTGTGGATCTGGCCCACAGCAAAGCTTTGGATGAGACGGGAGGGGCAGCTGTTCAGGTGAATTGGAGAAAAGGGTGAAGACGCATCAAACGCTTCGCCTGTTTTGGCTTTTTATGATTTCTCTTTATTATATTTTCTTCATTTTGGAAGTTGTTACTAATTATTTGTATTAGGAAGAGGGATCAATAGCTGTAAAACAAGATTTATGATTTTTAGAAGAAAGATTTTGAAAAGTGTTTACATTGGAGACATTTTAAACTGTAGTTAGTATCTACTGGCATGACTAGCATGTTGACTCATTTGGTCTCTTCCATCTTCAATCTCTGGCAAAGTTGACATTGGATGCATTGCTTTTTTTCCCCCAGTAAATCAATTGATTGCATGTTAAATTAAAGCATTTATGGAAATAAATGACTTTTTGTAACATTATGTCTCCCAGGTCTTTTTACTATGTAAATTTAACTTAACGTGAAAGATTTTGTAATAATTTATATGCTCTTTTGTCTCATAAACTAGGTTGTCCTGTCTTACACTTCCCAGACGGGAGAGAGAAGGACCAGAGTTCACACTTTGACACTGAGATGCTCACGCCACCTACAGGACACTTTCAGAAACTACCAGGCTGAAACCCTTCTCACTTTCTACTGCAAGAAGAGTATGAAATATACCCTGTGTGTCACTGAAATGTATCATAGTTATAATAGCTTTCACTCTTGCAGCAGAATGATTCATTGTGATTTTTCAATTTGAAAAAATAGTATGAGATTTGAACATTTTCCAACTTAGTGTTAATGGTTTAAATAAATTGAATAAACTTTATTAAGTTCTACATATTAGTTTGTCTTTAAGTTATAGAGGACGGCTTCTGTCAATAGAAACAGTTGCATCTGTAGTGAAATTGTTGTTAATTAGTATCCTTCTCTGAGTGCATGTTGTAATATTGATTCTTTTTTATTTTTTACAATATGCTGAATTACCATTACAGGTCTATATTTGGTAAAGTTCAGAGGTCAGCAACCTTTAAAACCCATAGAGCCATTTTTGCTTTTGGTTCTGCCAAATATGATTTGTTGAGAGCCTGAAAAGCTGCGTGACTCTGGAAAAAAGGTAGCTAATTGATTTTTTAGAAACTTTATCTCTGAAAATATGTTTCTTCAATATTTTAGAAAAGAATAACAATGTTACATATTTAACCAGTTTGACTGACTTTATCACCAAAATTACAAAACTTGGTAATCTAAGAGCAATTAAACATTTCTGTGGTTACTTTGTTTTATTAATTCTACTTTTCTTTGTGTGTCTGTCAAGTGTACTGTGCAGTGTTAGAGCGCCCTCTGCAGGAGCTGAGGGAGGAACTGCAGACAGATGTAACAGAAGCTCTGGCATCGTACCGCAAACACTGCTGCTTGTCTTCAGTGTCTGCTGGTCAGGTGAGGTAACAGTTGCACACAAAAACGCGACTGTATTTAGTATTTCAAATTTTTACTTCAGAATAAATAGTTTAAAAGCTTTCCAGATGTTTAATTACAACCTAAAAGAGCAACTTCTGCTTTGTTTTTATTTTATTTTAACCTTATTGTGTCGTGTTCATTCTGCAGCTGGTGCTTCCTCAGTTCCTGCGAGCTCTTCCAGTTTACGTCAACAGTCTGAGGAAGAGCGAGGTTCTGCTGCCGGGTCTGAGGAGCTCCATCCACCAGCGGCTGCAGCAGCGCTGCCAGGTGCTGGGCCTCGACACCCGCAGCACCGTCCGACACTTCTACCCCCTGCTGCTGCCTCTGGTTGGTCACCAACTTGTCAGAGTTATTCTTGACACAACATACATTAAATAAAATATTCAACCCAAAGTTTGTGTGCGTTAAAATGTTGCATCTTGGGAGACACTTCCATTTATCTGCTGCAAGATAATAAGGCAACCATGAAATTTTTTTTTCTGCAGCTGCCTTCAGTTGACAGCTCTAGTCCTCCATACCCAGAGGGGGCGCTACGGTGCACCAGTTCCAGCCTGGACTCCAGGGGTCTGTACCTGGTTCACGCACCCTTCACTATGCTGCTCTGGGTTGGCACTCAGGTCCCTGTAGGGACGCTTGTTGAGCTCTTCAACACCAGCTGTTTCTCTTCGCTGCCTTCAGGCGAGGTGGGTGAAAACAGATTTATTTATTTACATTGAACATGCAATAAAAAGTAAAAATAATAATAACACTAATAGTCATGCAAATTGCTAAAAAAAAGAGCCTATGGAAGACAAAAGAGCAAACTACTCATGATTCATCTGCGTGAAGATTAAAACACTTTGAGAAAATATTGTAGTGATGGCATAGTTTGTGCAATGTTTGGCATTCTTTATGAGCCTTGATGTTGAACAAGGCAATAATCTAACAGGTTTGTGTTTTCTTCTTCTTTTCTCCTCACGTTTGTTTAATCAGACCAACCTTCCAGCTCTGGAAAACCGTCTGTCCGTCAGAGTCCGGTCACTCATCAACTCGCTCAACTCCGAGGTTCCCTACGCCCGCAAGGTGAGGTAGAAAACACTTTGCTTTGCTAGTCAGTGTTGTGATGTATAATAAACTAATTTTATACAATTTTAATACATTAAAAGGTTCTTTAATAAGTACTCTTAAAGGAATGAAAACATGGAAATGTGACAGATGCTAGAGCTTTATAAAAGAGCCTTGCTTAATTATTTTATGACATAGTGTGAATATGAGTTATGTTTCTAATGTAACTTTATTATTTCATTAAGTAAAGTGTTAAAATTGTGCATTTATGAAACCATATATTATATTTCTAATATTATGTAAAGTATGTGTAACTATTTTTGTGATAAATTATTTTTTATGATGTGCAGTGAAATCAACTAATCCTCACCAGGCTAAGTAAGAAACATTTTGTTTAGCGCTTTAATGACGTCGTTTCTTTTTTCAGCTTGTGGTGGTGAAACAAGGCGACACCTGCGAGGAGGCGCTGCAGCACCACCTGGTGGAAGACAAAAGTCCCAACGGAGGAGCGTCATACGCAGACTTCCTGTACCATCTCCACGTCAACTCTGTCCGTCTCCTGCTGTGATCTATACACACACGAAAAGACTGAATGCAGAAGATCATGGTTTTGTTTTTATTGATAGAAGATTTATTGTAGTTTGAAAATATTAAGACTGTTCAGAAAAGTAGGATGTGCATGGACATGTGGCCCTAAAATAATCACTTTTATCTATCTCTTTATTTATTTACTCAAGAATGATGTGTTGATGTGAAGAGTCATGCAATGTGTTTTATTTTCTGAAAAATATCTGTTGTTAATTTATCCATGTGTCGGTGATTCTCTAACCCCAGCCTCATATGCGTGTGAGAGACAAAGTCCATTCCTGTGGATTAAAAATAAAAAGAATGGAGCTTTTAACTGAACCCTGACTCAAGTTTTCCCCTTTTTACCCGCCAACATTGATGTAATGAACAGAGCAGCTGATGAAGATGTGACTCAGGAAGCTGAAAGGGCGACCTCCTAATCAGACATAAGTGCCTAATAACACTAATTAACTGTGATTATGTTGCCGCAGAAATGGGAAGCACCGAGCTATGTGCTGTGATTCTTTAACCACTGAATTTTTCCATTTTCCACTTTAAGAGGCTGCGTGAAGTAATTTTATAGTAAGAAACATGTTTTAAGTGCAAGCTCTAACATAAATCTGTCAAAAGTTCAGCTATAAAACCTTTACTCATTCAGTTTATTAGTAAAAGCACTTACTCTGATGACTCACCTCACCATTGTGCGTCTTCCAACTTGTGTTGGAAAAAGTCGTTTCTTCCTCTTAAATCTTTTCTCTGCAAGTCACTAAAATTACTCATTAACAGAAGAAGTAAGTTCTTACAAACTATGAGAAGTCTGAAGAAACAAATTCAGGCTTTATTTTCAGTTACAGCTTATTCTGTTGGAAATTCAAGATTTAATTTTTTTTTTAGGAACGTTCATTTAAAATATTTTATGTTATCATTTTATTCACTCAATACACATGTACAGTTCATCTAACAACTGAAAAAAGGAGCAGAGACGTACACACTTATATCTGCTTCCTAGAAAGAAAATTAGCTATTCAACTAAAGAGACTGCAACAGACACATTTCAAATAAACATAAAATATACACAAAACACCAGTTGATTCAATGCCATATCACTTCATCATAATAAATGTCTTTTAAATGCAGAAAGAGATTCTGAATTTTTATCAAACATTGAAAAACGTGGTAAATGTAAATGTTAAAATGTTTGTAATGGAGAACGTTATGCAGCTTTTTCAAGATTGAATGCTTTTTCTCCCAGATTCTCTGGAAACATTTAGAACTTGTCAGACCACTAATTATCTTAATACATAATAATAAAAAAAGTTGTTTGCATCTACACATAGGAAGCATGCATTTACGTATTTTGGTTTTGTAAATGTAAACAGTTTTGCATGTCTGTCATGCAGTGACTGTAAAATAATTTCAAACAGAACTGTATCTGGTCAACATTATAAGTCTTGTACACTAAAATTTATTGGTAAAGCGTTTCAGTGCTGACATCCTCTGCTGTGATGAATCAATTATAGTTATTTCATTTATTCGTTAAGTAAACAGTTAAACATTAAACATGTCGTTTGTAAGGCAGGTTTTGAAGTCATACACAAGCTCCCTCATATTTGCCCCTATTTGGAAATACGCACCATGCGGGAGGGAGGTGCGTTCGGTTACGTTGCGCCTGTGCGCGAAGTGTCCACCAGAGGGCGACATAGTCACCGCCTTCCCGCGGAGAAGCTGCAGCAGCCAAATAAAGCGAGTCGTGTCAAGTCAGCCAGAGCGATCAGCGAAACACCGGAAAACGTCTTGGCACAATAAATAAACCACAGTTGTGCGTTAAACCAGTAAGGCTGATGTTAGGCTTGCACTGAGTAGCATTACTTCTACATATTTTTATTCATGTAAAAGTAAAAAGTAGGATTCTAAGAAATTACTCAAGCAAGAGTACAAATTTATTAAAAAGCTACTCAAGTGACCGATCATACAAATTAATATTCAGGCATCAAAAACATTTTCAATTATTTTTTTTTTTTAAATTAGAGTTTACATAAAATTAATTCTCATGTTAGAACTGGGTAATGTACTTCTAGGAACAATATATAGTGCTTGTTGTATCTATTGTAAATATTAAGATTATTGAGCAGGGTCAATGAATAGAAAATGACAACAAAGCTGAGTCTTTCAGGGTCTACCAATTTGATTCTGATTCCGATTCCAATTTTTAGAATCATGATTTTCTTCAAAAATTATTCTTAATTCAGAAACTTATTAAAATAGGTTAAGTTATGGTGACGAGAGGAATGACAGTGAAAACAAATTAAACATTTATTTAAAACAGTTACATATTGTATTAAATTCCATCTGTTTATATTTAAACAAAAATAGCTTTGTGCATAAAAATCTGTAGCTTAAACTCCCAGTATTAGGACAGCTTAGCCCACTAGCTTTTTCTTAAAAAAAAAATCAAATAATTATTTAAAATTTAAGTTAAGCAGATTAAAACTGACATTTGAGCATTTTTAGTCAATCGAAAATTTCCTGAATTTGGTATTGCAAATACACTTTTTTTCCTGCACCGTTAGAGGTGTATGAGTGTCTGTGTCTCATACATTTTTGACTAAAATATGTTTTTCATCATAATGAAGTTACTTATTTGGATAAAGTATTGAGAAATCTTACTCAAGCAAGAGTAGCAAAAGTTTATAATCATCCAGAAAAATTACTCCGAGACACATTTCTTTTTTCCAAAACGTTGCTCAAGTAAATGTAACTGAGTTAATGTAACTACTTATGAAAATTCCCTATGTGCAAGATCAAGAAATTCCTTTTAATACCTTGTGAAAATAATAACCTTTAAGCAAATATTAAAACTCATTTTCATTAAGCCCATGTTTCTATATTTGAAATGTTTTCTTAGAAATAAATGTATTTGTAAGTCAAAGACATCATAATGCACAAATAAAAGCTTATTTGTGTATTAATATTTAATAAAAACATCAGTCTATGCTTGATCAATTTCTATATTGTGTCTCATTTGTGTATTGAGTTACTGAAATAAATTAACTTATAAATATTCTAATTTACTGAATGGAATGGAAATGTATGCATTAACATATTTTTACAGCTAAAATTATTATTTTGAAGGTGCTAAAACTGTAAATAAAACAAAAATAAATGTTGCATTTGCCTGTCTTTTTTCTAAATCTGTCAGACCAATCAGGTAACTTTTTATTTCAATTTTAACAACACATCTGAGACGAGTTCACACATTTTCAGGGTTTATTACCCGAACAAACTGTGGAAAGCGTGTTTTATTTTGAAAATCCAAAGCGGAAGTGGCTGTACGTAGCTCGCGCAGCTTGCCAAGCGGCTCAGTTGAGCGCGGTAGCTGTCAGATAGCGGAGTCAGTCTGGCAGAGAAACACCCACACCGCCCGCTTCGTCTTTCTACAACCTCTCCGTCTCTCTGCGCCTCTTTATCGGCTTTTCCCACCGCTCCAACGGCCGGCTAGCTGCTGGGCGGACCCGCGTTGGTACCTTTTTTTTATTTTTTTACTCCGTTTTTCGCACGAACTGAGGCTTTATTCTTTCGAAGTTGATTCAGGGGAAAGAAGCGAAAGAAACAGAGAGAGAGCGAGAGAAAGACAGACAGGGGAGAGCAATGGCCACGACAACCTGTACGCGATTCACGGACGAGTATCAGCTGTACGAGGAGCTGGGAAAGTGAGTATCTGTGGTGTCAGCGTGTCTGAGTCGGTGGCGCGACTGTTTGCTGTGCAGGGCGGCTCGGACAGGCGGCAGCAGCAAGGCTGCAGAGCTGAAGCGGGCCAGCGGCTGTGCGTGCGTGCATGCCTGTGTGTTTGTGTGTGTGTGTGTGCGGGTGTGTGTGTGTGTGTGTGTGTGTGTGCGTGTGTGTGTGTGTGTGTGCCCTTTTTCGGTATGTCAGCTTTCAAATTACTCTGCTCCCTGCCACGCTTTTCAGTGTGATTTTGTATTGTTACAAATGAAATCCAATAAGTATTGGCATGTTTATATAGCATGCAGATTTTCTATTTATTTCACAAGGACATACAAATGAAAGCAGGGACATTGTTGTGGTGAATGCATTTCCACATGTGATGAGGCGAAGACTGCGGTTCGCAGAAAATATGTTTCTCTAAGTTTGTGTGCCCTTCGCGGGGATTTGTTGACATGCAGGAAAAAAGATCTGCTACAGCTGCAAGTATGGCGGTTTCTATGGCTTCTGCAAGCCATAGAAACCCTGTATAATTTCGGTATACAGAAATTACACAGGGAATGATAAATGATAAACCAATAAGATAATTCATATACGTTGGGAAGTTTTGAAGTTCTTCTGTTATTTCTGCAGCTTTCATAGATCTCTGCTTGAGGGACAAATCTTTAAAAAAAGATTAATTTTTGTTTCAATTAACACAAGCAAAGCATCACGGTATATCACCAAATGTGCAGACTTGAAACACAAATTAATCTTTTTTGTTTTTTTTCTGATCTCTGTTGTTATAGTGACAATATTGAGTCTTTAGCGTTATTTCAGCATTTATCTCTATTGTGATCCCTCAGGCAGTCTTTGACATTTTTCAGACTATCTTTATATTGCTGTGTCTCTCATCTTGACTTGTTGCACTTTGAACAAATAAATGGTACGTCCAGTGAAATATCAACAACAAATTTACAGTTTATCTTTTTACTGCAGTACTGGAGCGCATGTGAGCTTAGCCCCTGCTTTATTATTTGCACTTCCTGCAGATAAATGGCTTAGTATTAGTAATCCACACATGAAATCCACCCGGACTTTAAAATTTTATGTTCAGCAATTTAATTCTGGAATAGTTGAACTGTTTGTCCATGAAGGATAATGTGAGAGCTTTTGTTTTAAAGTGTCAGCTGGTTCTTCTCCTGCAAAATCAGGGAAACTTTAAAATGTGCCCCCAGAAAGTATTCATGCACTTTCAGTTTTTTGTAGAAGCAGTTTGAGTATTCAAAAATCTGTGCAATATAAAAAGTGTTTGGACAATAGTGTAAAAATTAAAGATAAAGAAGGTGTAGAAATCTGCTTCTACACTTGCAGAAAGGGAAAAAAAGTGAACTGAGACCCATAGTGTCAAATTAACATATGCATATTGAGATTCAAAGGATTAATCAGATTAATAGTGTGAATAATTGATGCTTTAAGTAATCCTCAACTAATGTAGTAATCAATTAATCATAATATACTGACCCAAAAAATCAATAGAATAGCCAATTACTAAAATAATTGGCTATTCACTGTATCCCTGTGATAACAACTACACCATCACAGAAAAGTACCTGGATCTAATTAACACAAGATGTATTTAGTGACAACACTAAATGGTTCAGTGGATATTCCCAGATTGAAGCCATTTCTTATTAACTTGGCAATCGTCTTCAGATCATTAGTGGAAAAATTAATCGCTGTAATGAGGAAACCAAAAGATTTTCTTTCGGCTTCAGACCAGAGAATTTTGACAAAGCTGAGATTTTTTTATTTTTTTTTTTGCAGTGAATATGACTTTCTACATGCCTCTCTGCCATAAAAGCCTGATTAATGTTGGTGAATAACCAACGATTACCATTATATATATGTATATTTTATCTTTCACCTCGATCATTCTTTGTTCTGGGATATTTTGTATTTATTCCTTGTGCAGATTTTTAAAACAAAAGAAAACTATAGTCAAGTCCAAAAATAGCTCAGAAATGTAAAATATTTGGGCAAAATTAAAGAAGTGTGAATACTTTTTATAGCATTGTAAATAATACTATAAATATACAATGTTTGGACATTATTTCTCTTGACTCTGTATTATTTTCAATAAAACAGATAATTTTTATTTTTTAATATTATTGAAACAGGTGTATTAATTAAAAACAGGCTGTCTGCACATGAACCTTGAAAGATGAGAGAAAAAGGTTGTTTTTTGTCTGCAAGTACTAATTCTGTGTTTGCTGTATAGGTTGACAGTTTTTGTTGTTTACATTAGTTATCTGCGATTTTGCAACAGAAGACATGAAGAAAATAATTGTAAGAACAAGAAAAGTGTCAGAAAAAACAAACAGGTTTAGTAATTTGCTTTAATTGTTCAGAACACTGCTGCTGCAGAGGGATGCATCTTAATAAAGTTAAGTTTCAATGTATAACAGGATAATGTAGGGTGTAGATTTTGTTTGCTGTTTTTTGTCTGATTGAAAACAAGGCAATCATTTAAAGTTAAAATTATAAAATCTTTTATGATGTTTAGGTAGATGGAAATATGTCTACATATGGAAAAACAAGTTTATTTATGTTGCTTCATTTACACACAAGGTAAAGTAAAGGTGATTTACAGAAATGGGGCACTGTTTCCATCCCCACAACATCCAAATTACTTGAACGCATTTAATTCATATTTGTACAGCAAAAACGACTAAGGAAGTGCAGCAGTGCAGACTCTGTGTTTCACACCTAAAAGGTAGCAAGAGCAAATGTTCAATGCCTCTGAGAGCTCCTAAAGTTGATGCCTTTTCAAGCAGTGAAGCTCTTACCATGCTGATTAGTGAAGGTCTGGCATTCCCAAAGGATGTGATAAATCTCTAAGTGCTCTAGATTTTGAAATGGAGTTGATCGAAGTTTTGTCTAGATGCAAAAAAAGAAAAAAGCATTGGAATAACGCTTTACCACACTTCCATACCTTAGAGCAACTTAAGTGCTGTTTTATGATTCATAAACATGAGAAAAACACAACAAGGTAAATATTTTCTACTTGGATATCCTAAATATTATAAGTTGAAGTTTGAGGCTAAAATAGAACTTTGAAATGAAAAATTAGTAGCAATCCTGTGTGCACATTTTGTTGGGTCTTTGTCAACATAATTTCTCTAACACTCGTTTTTATTAGAAATATCCTATACCAAAGGGTCATGGCCAAAACAGTAGCACACAAACAGTTTTAGAAACAATTTCACACATAAAAACATTGAGAGGTTAATGATTTATGCACAAGCATACCTCAAAAATCAACCTCCCATTTTTAATTTGTTATCGAAACCAACACTCAACACATTCCAGAAATGATTACATCTAAACATTTGGATTTTTCAAAAAAGTTTTAGTAAATTTGAAATAATGCTTCTGTTAATTGTTTGCTCCATGCAGAAATGTTAGCGAATGTTGGATTTAATTTTTCAGGGACATATTTAAATACATTTAGGGCTTTTCTCTGATTTGCAAGGTATTTCAGGGTAAAGACAAATGTATGCAAACTTTTCTTTAGTAAAGCTTCTTTCACATCACTAGTTTGTGACAGCTCTTCTGTTTCTTACAAGCTTCAAAGAGATTTCAGATTTATTTATAATAAAACAAATTTATATGCTAACATTGGGAAACAAAACATACCATAAAAGTTCAATCAAAAAGTGAAACAAAATATACATCAAGTAATATAATAAAATACACTTCTACCATATTTAAAAGCAGTATTTAAGCACTGCAACCATTGAAGATTGTCTAATATCTGCATAATTCAGGTGCTGAGTCTGCAGACATTTGAGTCCAGACCTTGGGACTTGTAAAAGCGAGCGATCATTATATGTGAGAAATCTGCTAGACACATATGGCAGAGGGGGGTTGGATTGATATATGCTGCAGTTTGTCCATGGAGAGCTTTAAATTCAGCAGTAAAATGTTAGTTTCTACAGAAACTGCAGCCATAAAAGGCAGGGCTGACTCACACCAATACTCAGAGAGTTTCAATGATCAAGCTGGAATCTTAGAAAAGTGTGGCTCAGCCTTTCAAAATCCCACCGAGTTAAACTGAAAGCTTTACTTTCAATAAAAGCTTTAGCTTGTAAAAGCTTTTCTGCAATAGTGAATAGTAAATAGTTTCTCTAAGTCAAAATGAGAACCAAGTGTGACCCTCTCGCCTTTAATGTGGCCAAAAGGCTAAAACCTACCCAGATTTATACGGCAAGATGTAATTAGCACTGAAAAATGTGCTTCTGGAGTAATTCAATCTCTCTAAAAATGGATCCTTAAGGGAGCATGTTAATGGAGAATAAAACTGGCCCGAGAACAGAACCTTGGGGAACTCCACAAGAGACGGGTGCTGAGGGAGAAACAGGGTGACAGAAACCTGCTGCTAGTAAGGTAAACCTTAAAATATTGGGATATTAGGCTATATCAAAGGCAGCTTTACAGTCCAAAACAAGAATAATTATCGATATTTTCAGAATCAGTGACTAAAAAAGACGCTTATATAAAATAATCTGGTTATATCTAAATATAGTTCAGGAGAAAAACCCCAAAAAGTTTTTTCTCTCTGAATTCACGTCGATGTAAAATTTTGAATAATTTTGAACATCATAATTAGATGACAGGTGAATTAGTAACACTTGTAGATTTTATTTTTTTATGCCAGTGAGAATCTAAGCTAGTTTTTGTTATTGCAAATGTTTCAGACTCACTTCAGGCTTCTGGTATGCCACACAAAAATAATATTTTAGTTATTTATCTTGTCATTTGACAAGCATAAGCAGCTTTGTCTACCAGTGTGACTCCACACACACCACCTGGGGATAATAACACTTTCTCTGCTGCAAAGCTTGCTCCTTTCCCAGAAGCAATAACTCTGGTTGCTGGGAACGTTTCTTATTCTTCAGGTTTGTCTCTTGAATAAAAAGAAAGGGAAATATAACCTATTAGTCGGGCTTTGATCTTGTGTGAGTGACACTAATCCTGCTCTACCAATCGTCTTTTACAAATGACTATAATTACTCATTCTGTCACATCCATCTCAGAGGAAGGAGTTCAGGTGTAAGTGACTTGGCCTTGAGATAATAATGCTATCCATGACTATAATACCAATCCTAAGCATCTGAGGAGAGATAATTATTGTGCTCTCACTTTTGGCTGCTGTTTCTTCCTTTGCGGGACTTGTGACATTTAAGCTTCGTGACTTTGTGCATCTATGACAGATAATATCAGCCTTTGTGGTCTACAAGAAGCTATTCTTTTACACAAATTGGCATAAACAAACTTTTAAAACAATTGTTAGAAATCACGTTCTTTGATCTTTTCTGTGGCGTAGCGCTCATTATAAGTTTTTACAGTAAATTCTGCACCTAATAGGATGCGTTTTCACTTTAAATCAACACTAGTTATCATTTAGATTTTGTCAAGCAACTTTTATTGTGAAACATTTGTGCTCTGCTCTGCTGGTGGTTTTTCTTTGATAAAAAGTTGATTTTTATCTCGGTCGTATTTGAAGCTTTGGTGTACAGATTTACATGTTGTGCACTTTGGAATTAGAGATTTTGTTGGTTTTCTGTAAGTGTTATCGGTAAATTATGTAGGATTCAATGCAGTTATTATTTGCTGTCTTTAAGTGCAATTGCATTTCTGATGGTAGTTATGAAGTAGCACGTTAAATATTATACTGTGGTAATTTTTTTTATGTTCTTTTCAACATTGTTTTGTTTAACTGCACAGTTATTGAAGAACTGTTTAATTCAAAGCAGAAGCTTATGTGTTTGTGATAGTTATTGATCCTATCTGACCGAAGACTTTCAGTCCTCTGCGTTGCCTCGTCTGAGTTTCAGTCCATCTGGTCCCAGAGCGTTCACCTTTGACCTTGTTGGTCTGGGAGCGAAACCCAGTGTCACAGTTCAACCTTTCACTGTCAACACCCACTGGAAGGCAGACCGGCCAGATTGATCTGAGCCCGCAAGCCCGAGAAGCTATTTAGAGACTTGAGAGTTTGCTGTGCAGCTTTCAGAGCAACACAGCTCATATTCAGCAGTTTTAAATTATTCTACATGACTAAATTCATATCAAATTACATTTTCTGCAGAAATAGGCTCTTTGAATGTGTCAAATATTACGTTTGAGTTGTTTGCTCTTTTGTTTTCCCTTGTAGTTTCACAATAGAAGTGTTTGTTTCTTTCGCTGCACGTCTCGACATCCACATGTGAGCACATTATCTGGAACATACTGACTGGCTCTGAGGCTCCTCATGGGAGCTTATTAAGCAGATAAATCTGGACAGCTTGGTCTTTAAATGTAGCTTTCCACAGTTACACTTGAGGAATATTAAGCCTGCTTGTAGCTGCAGTAAATCATCAGTTGTGTGTATTAACATGAGTATTCTCAGCAAAAACTGGTGTCATTACGCCAGCTAAGGCTCCGAAGAAGTTGCATGTAAGGAAAAGTTTGATAAACAGCAGAGATTTCCTGATGGACATAAATATTATATGAACTGTTGATTAAAAATGTAAAAATATCTTCCTTAAAGTAATAAGAATATATTTTGTTTGCAGGGGAGCGTTTTCAGTGGTGCGCAGATGTGTGAAGCTGTCGACAGGGCAGGAATATGCTGCTAAAATAATCAACACCAAAAAGTTATCTGCAAGAGGTAAGAACTTATTTCAGCTTTTAATTCAACGTGTAATCCCTGGATATTGTTTTGCAGTCTGAACACGATGCATTCTGGAGTTGTGATTTTCCCGTTGGTAAATGTAGAGACTGCATGAAGTCCACAGCTCTGGTGTAGCTCTAAAAGCTCTGCAGTCACAGCCGGTTATGAGAGAGAAAAGGACTCACAAATTAATGGCTCGAGGAGATTGTGGTGTGAAATGAAAATCACTTACTTCGTCTCAAAAAGCTTCACAAAACTTAAAAAATTCCCATAATCTGTGGATAGTGCCCCAGATTTGTTTCTGTTCTCTGTAGTTTTTCTTTAATCTCTTACTAAAGTAAATTTTTTATGGATTGACTCAGTTTAAACACCAAAGTAGTTAATCATTCAAATAGCAAAATGCTACTCAAGTCCACATGTCTGTAACCTGTGGATAATTACTGTGAGTAAACTTCACTTTATGCTGAATGCTGCCGGTTTCTATGAGACCAGGGCACCTCTCTGTTTGAATACAAGAAACTTTAGTTCCTGAATACTGGGTGTAATATGTGTAAATAAGTTAGGGAATAAAAATGGATGCAAATTCAAAGTCTGAACAGAAAATTATGTTTTCTTCATTAAAAACCTGCAATGCATTCCAAGAGATCAAAGAAAGTAATCAGTAAGAATTGAATCATTTATGGACGATAATCCTGCCTAAAGGTAAACATTAGATTTCAGATTTTGGTGTTTCTTTTAGTCAGTTTGACCTTGCCTCCATTGTGAAATGGGCTTTTACGAGCCCTATGACAATATTTTTAGACACATTGTCGCTGAACTGTTTGGAGTATTGACAGGAAAGACGTTGAGGAACCCTGGAAACTGGTTCCAGACTGGGAGGTTGTGTTTTCCTTTGATAAGGAATATGTCACTTTTTGAAAACAATGCTTTTGTAGCCTCCACTCCTTACAAAACCCTGAAGCTTTATTTCAGCTTGATACTCCAGATCTACTGTTGTATTTATGTGGTTGTATTACAACGCCAAATATAGTTACATTTGGGTCGGTGTTGATCTTGCTGAATAGAGTAAGATTACAAAAAAAAGGAAAGGAAAAAGTAAATGAATTTCCTGCTCTAGTCAACTGTATGTTTAAGCTTAAGCTGAAGTCTTAAACCTTGCATATTTCTGATCCCCTTCAGTTAAAATTATGTTCCGCGAAGGATTATTGTAGCGTAGAAAAAGTTTGTCACTCTCTTTGCCGTTAAGTAATCTTCATCGAACTGATAGACCAGTTCAATGAAGGACTAAAATTGCAACATTTGTTATATTTTCAGCTGCTGCGGTTAGCTTTTATGTTGTGCTATGTCAAACGATACCATCTAGTTGAAAAACCTGTTCCCCTCTTTGCCTGTGGTGGCGCTGCAACAAGAACCACTTAAGGATATGACACAAAAACCTCTGAAGAAGACACTTCTTTTTCACAAAATGTAAACAAAAATGGAGTAGTGTCATATTTTAGCCGTTTCTTTTTTGTCTTTGGCAAAAGACCACGAGCCATTTCTCCCGCTAGCGTTAGACTCAAGTGTTTTTTTTGGTTGTGTTTACCCAGAATGCCCTGTGCTGCTGCCCACTTCCTGTCTTTTAGAGGTGTCTCCGGTCTGCTTGGTGCTCACATATGCATTTGAACGGCACCAGAGTTCACTTTAACTAAACTAAGACCAAGCGTTTTAGGCAGATCAGAATTTGCTTTTTTCAATTTTGCATTCACTCCTCCAAAAGAACCAGACTTTCTAGACAAATGAACTAGAGTTTGAATAAATAAATAAATTAATTAAATAGGACTGGTGTGAGCACCCTATCGCTTAGTAGAGATTTAGATACTAATTACAGATTAATGCTCTCTTTCTGTGTTTTCCACAAAAAACATAATTCTCCAAATCAAATGTTTTTACTGCATATTAATAGGATATTGCTCACATTAAACAGGCATAAAGTCCGACTTGTAAAGGACCCTGTGCTCAGGCAGTAAAGCCCGGTTTAGGCAGCGCTGTGATGTAAACCGCCCGCGGCGGTCACTGTCGTTCCTCACACCAACACTCGCCCGGTGTAAATCTCCTGCTGCCTCTGCAGCCCGCAACCGGAGACCCAGAGCCACGGCTGTGCCAGGTGGCACCCCACTGACAATACACTGTTACACACACACACAAATGTTGTGTGCATTTGTGTAAATGTAGAGTGTGGTCTAAGAGGTATTTTAACAGGGGTAGAATGTCTGCTCATATCTGTGTGTGTCTGTCAGTTAACCTTTTACTGTGGGTATTAATTTCCTCTGGAAACAATTGCTCAGATGTCATTAAATCCACGCAGACAGATTTATGAAAGTACTCTCTGATAGCAATGATAATACACCAGAGAGGTGAGGCTGCCTGGGATAATTGTTAAAAATTCAAAAGATCAGGCTACTTACACCATAAAGTGATACGTTTCTCACCTTCAGCAGACTGACGCTAATAAGCTTTGTAATGTCAATGTTTAAAGCAAATTAATGCAGTTTCAAAAGCAGAGTATGTGTGGTATTTAAAGCCCCAGAAAACGGAAGAACCTTAAGATAATTTATGAATATTAATGGAAATCAAAGACGTCTTTTCTGTTTTAAGCTCTTAGAACTGTGATGCCCAAACTTTTTGACATGAGGCCAAAATGCCAAGTTGAAAGAACCGCGTTTGCCAGAGATTTTTTTTGTTTTTCTATTTACCAACAATTTTATTCATTAAATAAATGTTATTTAACAAAATAAGCAAAGAAATCAGATTCCTGTAGATTAGGCATTGGTAAATCACTGTAGGTTTACAACATATAAAGGGTCTTGCTGATTTGCCAGATTAACAAAATAGCAAACCATATCCTACATTTTACAGGTTGACAATCTCTCCTAGATTTTCTGAAATATCTTTTCAGCAAAAAGAACAAGATATGGAATATTCTTGCTTTATTTTTCCAAGTTTATTGAATGGTTGTACCAGCTCTGCATTTTATCAGACATTACAAGATGTTCATCGTCCCGTTTACTACTAAATTAAATTCAAAGCAAAAACATGATTGAGTGCTTTGTGTTGGACCATTTCAAGATTTTAAATTTCCTTTATCTTCCTTGAAAGGCCTGACATCAGTGAAAATTACACCCTAAAATATGTTTATTTATTTATTTTTTCTTCAGTTTTGGCTCACATGCTGCTATGAGTATGTTCTTTCATTTTTTGAGTCTGTATATTCCAGTTAACAATTACGAAGTTTGTTAACAATTTTTTGAATAATTCATTCATCACAATTAATCCGATTAATTGTTTCAGCCCTAGATACAAGCCATATCAAATCAGTGCATCTCCACTAACACACACAGTGTGACATCAGCTTTTCTCCAGCAATAAATGACAGAAGTCTGTTTGTACAGCTCTGGAAAAAAATTAAGAAACGACTTAAAATGAACAGTTTCTCTGATTTTACTTTTTATAGGTATATGTTTGAGTAAAATGAATATTATTCTTTTATTCTACAAACTGAAGAAAATGAGAAATGTTGAAAATAACAAAAAGATGCAGTGCTTTCAGAACTCAAATAGAAATCAATATTTGGTGGACTAAACATTAGAGTTTGAGTGGGGTTCAGTGCAGTGGATGTCAGAAAGGCTTGAACACAGAAACTCAGAGTGCTGTTAATTATAGTTTGTAGAGAAATTGGACCGTTCAGAGCTTTCCAAAGAAAACAAAAATCAACCATAAATCTCTGACCGGTGAATCTCCGCTAACTGGAGGTGTAGGTTTCCTCCTCAGCTGTTTTACGAAAGGCTGCAGCTGCAGCTGCTTGCAGATTTCTGAGGTACGGCATAATCTTCCTGCTTTAAGATTTGATGATCTGAGCTGACTGAGTGGTGAGCGTGGCCTGCGCTCTGCTCTTTACTAATGGATGAGCCATGTTTGAGCCGCTGCATACGACTTCTACTCCAGCTCTAATAATAGCTCCATGACCCATCTGACATGGGCTGCAGCAGCCAGGTTTTATGGCGATCTCGATGACTTACTGCTCTGCTTCACAAGTGAGAGTTTCGCTGCTGATATATTTCTCAGAAAGCAGGTAAGGTCAGAGGGTTTAGAGCGCCAGCCGAGGCTGCTTAGGAGGAGCGTTTGTTTGGGAAGGGCAGATGGAGATGGGAGCTGCAGGGAGGCCAGGGGGGTCATGGCAGAGAAGGCACCCCAAGCACTTGGCATCTGAGGGCCATGCGCCTGTACGCCTACATGCCTTTGAGCACGGGACTCTCATCTGACTCTGCCTCTCTTTCACTCTGGCACACACATGCATGGTCATTCTGACAGTGAACTCTGTTTATTTACTGCAGTCACAGTGATTCACCCTCTTAAAAATCCCGATATAAAGCATCTGGGAATGGATGACTAAATGTTATTTGTGTGTTACCCAAACACCCCGCTTGACTTCAGCCCTGATTCTGTCCCGTATTGCAGACGGCAAGCGGTTAATGTCAATCCAGCTCATGTCAACAGGAAATATAGGGCAGGTCTGCTGGGCAAGGCTTCCAGCCAATCATAGCACTTGTTTATTGGCAGTGATACGTGGACGAGGGATGCCAGAGGTTCCTGTATGGCCTCGTAGCATATCATGGTAGAGTGGATGTGCGTGTGGGTATATACGCATAATAAATATATAAGTGCACATGTGAGGTGTTTATTTTGTTTGAGACTTACCTGCTGCTGCAGCAGCAGAGAGCTGACCTGATTTCTGTCCCGGTTCTTTTGTGTCAATGTCAGATAAGTCGCGCGGGGGTATTTAAGTGAAGGCCTATTACATGTAAGCCTATTATGAGTCAAATCACTCTGCTTATAATTACAAATGCCAGTAGAGCCTGTTTTATTTATCATATAGCCACAAGTTCAGCAGATTAGTTTGATTACACCAAACATTTTAACCCTTATTACTGATTTTTCTTTTCTGACGAAAATGATTCCTAAAAGATGATGGCTCACCGCAAATGTCACCGTTTTAAAGTTCCCATCTTTGCTTTATTTGATACTAACTTTTATAAGTTGCATAAAATATTTTGTTGCAAGTTGAAATTAGGACGCCAGCTAACGATCATCTTATAATCAATTATTTATTTATCGAGTAATCGGAAAAATGGTACATTTTGTAGGGTTTTTATTCAACCTCTTAATCTTATTTTATGCAAAATTGAGGATTAGGTAAAAATAGACATCCACAAATAATAAGATAAAAATTGTATTTCCTAAAATGCAATAATGTATTATTTCTTTATTGAAGTTGAACCTGGTGAAGCTAAACCTTAAGGAGTTTTGGGCAAAACATATTTACATACAAATTGATCCTAAATTCAAATTTATATATATTTTGTACAATTTTGGCTTAATTACTGCTCTGAATATGTTTTTTCTTAAAGAACACAGCATTTCTTGAGTTAACTATCATTTACTAAATTAGTTGATGCTAATTTGAAAAATTGATTGATCTAATTAATTGTTTCAGCAACATTAAATACCATGGGATGTTCCACCACTTGCTCCATCATCTGCCCTTCTTTATGCTGTTCTCTAATAATTTCTAAACCTACTTTTCTGAAGGCAATTGTAACCCGAGTGTAATTTTAAACCTTCAATTCCTCTGATTTTCTACTCTTTTGCCTTTTAGCCTCAAATCTCGCGATGTTTTAATAGTATTATGATTGATTCTCGCGAGATTATCGTTTAGCCAATCGCGGTTGAGTACTGGGGTCACATGTACCTTTCCAGTTTACCGGCTAGGTATATTAGCTCAAGCAAAAGGGCGTGAAGGGTAGAACGCGTTGGAAGGAGCAGAGCTGGCAGGTCAGTTAAAGCGTAGCATCATTTAATTGCTGTAAATGTGTACGATGCTCACTTAATGTGCTGAACTATAGGATCCCATTATTGTGAGCCGGAAAGTGAGATGAAAAAGATCCGGTAGTATGACACAAAACTGCGGAACTGGTGAGTGTTTTTGTGAATGACTTAGCATTGGCTTATAATCACTGCTGTTGTGTAGCCACTAAAGAAAAACTGATTGTACACTCTTTTTGATAACCAAAACGGGTAATTGAAGTATTTGTTGAACACTGGTTTATATTAGTATTTTACATTTCATGTTAATTGATAATATGGTGTATATTTATTGAATGTTTCATGAATGTAATTTATATTGAATTTTAGATTTAATGAAATTGCAATTGATCAAATATGATAGAATTATTTATAATATAAAATGTTATTTATTGAATTGTGTATACACTAAATGTTAGATCATATCAATATATATTGAGGAAGTGGTCCTGTTTTGTTATTCAGGCCAGGTGGATGGTGAGCTATGAGACCAGGCCTAGAGCCAAAGAAAGATTTCACCTGTTGGTGACAGAAGACTGCTTACTTCTCCTACCCAGCTGGTAGGAGAATCCTACAAAGAACTCTGTTCCTTCTTTGATTGGACTTTCAATTACCCAGGATATGAACCACGCCCTGGATACTCCCCTTGTTTGCAAGCCTGATTAATCCCCATTCGGGGTGGATGGACTAAGGGGTTGTAAAATGAACTTTGGGAACGATTGATTAATTTGTTTTTTTCCCCTTTGTTGTGTTTCTTCTTTTCTCCTCTGTTTTCCTTTTTATTTCATTGTTTTGTTTTTTTTCCCTTGATGGCCATTTGCATATCCCAATGTTGTGGTTGTAAATATGTATATATGATATTCACATTGCAAATACAAAACACTCGCAGCTGCAGAACTCTAGCCTAACTGCTCTTTCGTGAGTCGTACCTATTCTTCTGAAAGGAAACTGGCCTATTATCTTGGTTAAAAGCCATTTATATTGAATAACAATTTAGATTGTCTTTTCAAATATGCTACACAATTTCTTGAATTTTGGGTAAAAAAGGCTGCATACCGGTACTTTTTTCAGATATTTATTTCAAAACTGTTTTGAAAATTACACATTAGTTTACTTGTAATTCACAAATCTGCAGTATTTTGTGACTGTGACTTGAATCAGATGCAGAATAAATTAACATGGACTTGATTGTTTGCTTTCTGATGATTGATATTTTCTGAGGGCATTTTGATTTCAGATATTTCCTAATCCGTTTTATTCATGTTTCGGTTTGATTTAATATCTTGATTCTTGTGTTTTATTTTGCATATTTAAAGTGTCTTCCAGTTTCAATGTGGAGTGTTCTTTATAAAATCTAAATTTATTGGTCAACTTGTGTTATTATGTCTTTTATAAAAATATTAATTGAAAATGGACTTGAAACGACAATGTTATCATTTATCCCAGTAATTACTGGAACATTTTATTGCCCAACAACATTTAAGGTGACTGTCGGTGTGAATAATTTTAAGGGGTCTGAATATGTTTGCCAAGAACGTGTTTTTAAGCATTCCTGTAGTAATACTACACTCCTGTAGTATTTTTAGAAAGTGAGAAAAAAAAAGTGACATTTAAACTCCATATTTAGCAGTGAGCCATGCTGATCTTGTAAGTCAAATATTCTTGAACAGTGATTATATATGCTTCTCTTTGTGGATGTCTCTTCTCCTGAAACACCAGCCCTGACTGGCGATGATTAACCCAAATGTATTCCTCTCTTCATTGCTTCCTCTCTTCTTCTCCAGTACGTCTCCTGCAGACTCTGCTGCATGCTATCCTTGGGTTATCTCACTGCGCTCACGTTCCTGTTTGCCACATATCTCCTCCTGCTTTTCGCCACTTCCTCTCTCATCCCCCTTTAGGACCAGTCCTCACCATCCTTCCTTTCTCCGTTATCGCTCTGCTCATTTCTTATTTACCCCACTGCTTCAGAGAACGACAGTGTTTGGCTGACCGACAGCTTTAAAGAGAGGGGTTAAATGAATATTTGAAACAGAGTGTACTACCTGCGCTACTTTTCCACAGTAAACTGTACACTCCTTACAGTCAGAGCAACAGCAAAATGAAAGCTCAGACTTTGATTCAAACTTTTCATACAGTGAAACAGAAATATAATATATTTGTTTGCCTTATTTTTAGTTGCACTAGAAACATGGAAATATTTTAGTAATAAAAAAACTCTCCGCTACATTCCTCACTTTTTTCGTACCAAATCCAATTTATGATTTCAATGTGTTTTTTGTGTGTGTGTTTCTTTCTTGTCTCACTTTCCTTTCTTAAAAAGAAAGTACAAATTTTTATTTCATTATTTTGTTGTAGGAGTTAAATCAACTTCAAAGTCCAAATAAAGCAAAGCTGCAAAACATGCTTGTTAAACAACATAGTAAGCCCTTTTTAGAGCTTTGCCGAGGTAGATAAACTCGATGGATAAGATCGGTTTCATCAATCATTGATCTCCCAAAATGAAGAAAATCGGCACCAATAAACTGGCTGATAAATCGTTGCTCTCCAACTCTTATTATGGCGTCCCAAAGAGTGCATTGATGGAAGAACACTCCCAAATTACCAAAAACAAAATTTTTACAAACAGAACATTTTATTAATTATCAAAATCGATTTATTGTCTAGTCCTGAAGAGAACACACAAAATATGGCATTGGCATTCCATAAGAACTTTTTTTTTCTAAATGAAATTTAATTTAATTATTTTGTTTCACTGCGGTACCAAACAACCCATGGAGCGGTGTGCAGCCAGGTAATTACAGACCTCTGTTTGATTTACAACTAAAAGTTCATCATGTACTAATTTAATGGTCTAAAATCCTTTAAAAATGTCATACTTTATGGTGTTTTGATTCCAAAAGAAAATAGTTTTTATTTTACTCAATTTTCACTTCCACTCATGCCCAGAAAATGTAGATACTGCATAAAATATTTTACTTCTATAAATTAAATTATAAAATTCAATATACTTCACTTCAAAAGTACTTTATGTATCTCCAAGGAACTCATTTGGCAATTGGCAAACACTGCTAATCCGCCTCATTTTCTTTTGCCACTGCTTTTTAAATCTGTTTGGCCATATGGGTAGAAAGACAATCTATGATCTGTTCACTGAGTTTTAGAGCTCAAATCTGAACCTTTTCATTGTTTCCATCAACCATAATCTCCCCAGTTTATTTTTAATCTCCCCAGTTTATTTTTTCATGAAGCTGATCTATTGATAAACTGAAAAATGTGGGGCAGGAAGTTCATCCTTCAGTCACGAACGTTGTTTTTTTCTGATCCAGTCAGCTTTATAAACGACCTGAAACGCATTTTCATCCTGGTCTGAAATGAGTGGGTGTTCATTTTGAGGTTCTACCTTTTTGTTCGGCGATAATATAGTAATGAAGAAGGGAAAGAACAACAAAAGATGAAGCACAATTTTCCCATACTAAAATATTTATAGAACTAAACTAGAGGTTTGTGTAGGACGTGTGACAGTTCATATCATTGCTAATGAAAGCAGTTTTGGTTTCTAAATTACATGTGCTAGGTTAATTTCCTCTCCAGTGTTTAGTGATGCCTTCCTGTAGAGAAGCGGTGTCCAAAAATACTCATCAAAAGTCCTTGCAAAGATTTAAAAAAATAAAAATTACAAAAACATTTTCTGTTTTTTACCGACTCAACAATAAACCAAGCACGGACTATTTTAATTAAATAAATAATCAGATTTTTTTTTTTTTTTGTAGGAACGGGATTAAAAATCTAAAACTTCAAATGGTGTTTCCTTGTCAAATGAAAGGCATCCAATTTGTCTATTAATCAGGGCTTGATTGAAGACAAAAAATTTAGTCTGTTCTCAGCAATAAATATAAGCTCTGGGTCATTCTTTATTTGAAAACACTTGCTGTATTTACCCAAATGTGCTCAATCAAAAGAATATTTGGGTGCACCAAGGTGTACTTTGACTAGTTTGTTTGTCTAGAAAGTCTGGTTCATTTGACCAAAGTAGTTAACTGTGGTCCACTTAAAAACATTGGTTTTGGTTTGGCTAAAGTTCTTTGATCACCTCTGCTATAGAGAAGAAATAACAAAAACTCAGGTAAGTGGACTAAATCACAATGAACAGAGACAACAACTCTGGGCCATTTCTGTTCTCGTATTATTAGCAGATGCCACTAACAGACTAAAACCCGATCCTGGCCCATTTGACATTTTTTCCACCATTTAGCATCGTAACATATCAAGGACGGTTCAGCAGAAACACAAGTTTAGGCGGAGTGGACATTTAGACAAAATGTTTCCATTCTGTCTAAACTATAACCTCACCTTGAGATTAGAAAAAAAAGCAGTTTGATTTACAGCGAGATGAAGAGAAAACCATGCTTTGTTTGTTTCACTGGTTCCTCAAACCGAAGGAAGAAAGGAGGAAGAAAACAAGCAGCAACAGACGCAGCGATTAGCATTGTTTTAATCTTTCAACAGAAAGATGGCATGCAGGCTTAATTGTTCTTCCTCCTCCCACCTCCTCTGTCCCTCTTCAACACTCCCCACTCCTTTCACCAACTGGCTCAGCTCGTCTTCTAAGACTGTAATGACTGGGCTTACACGTCACTGTCACTCCTCTGTACCCATGGAAATGTGTCTGCTCGCCTTTTTCCAAGCTATTCCTGTCACAGATTGTACTATATTGTTTCCAGCAACAGCATGTATTTATTTTCATCAATTGTTTGAGTGTTGGTGTTTACAGGGATCCACTTCTTTTTGGGTTTTTCTGTCTGTGGGCATGTTTGGTCGGATTGTCGCGTTCTGAAATGATAAAATACTTAAACCATAAATAGCATCTGATTTCATCACAAAGAAGCAAAGCAGCTCAGATGCCCCAGTGTGTGTGTTAGATCTGTTTTGCTCTAAACTCCAAAGGATTTTCGGGTATCAGAAAAAAGCCCGATCGAGGTTGGGGCAATGCTTTGTGCTGCACTGTGACTGATTGCAGTGTCAGATGGTATTATATTGATCTGATCATCATCTTCGTATGCAAAGCTCCTTATTTCAGCTGTAAGCTCAGGATGATATCACTTCTTTATCAGCAAGTACCACTATCTCAGCCACGCCTACTTCCAATTTACATCAATAAATAAAACCTTTCAAATGATGACTGCAGTCTTTAAAACACAATTTATGTTTCAGTACAACTTCACTTTGGGAACTCAAAAAGCTGAAAATTTGCATCTTCAAAAAGGACTGTTTCAATGTCTCCATTCTTATTTTTTAATAATTTGTATTGCATTGCACAACAGAGTATTCGGATCATGGCAGCTAAATGAAAAAATAAAACAATGTGGAGGTTTGTGAGTTTTATTACCAGAATAAAACTCACAAGTTTCTAGATTTTCACTTATTTATGGGACAGTGTGGATATTCTCTAATGTCAAAAAGTCATAGATTTGCAAGAAAAAAGTTATAATTTTTTATGATTAAGGCATACATGTACAGATATTCAAACTAAAATGTTATTTGACATTATAAAACCAGATATTTGTGACACAAATGCCAGAAGAGAAAATATCCAGATGCCGATCTACTTCAATCGTAGAAGACTTCTGGCATTTTCATAGCAAACATCAGACTTTATATAGTTTCCTAGTTTAAGATAAGAACAAAATCTAAATAACCCACATAAAAATTGATCTATGAAGCTTAGTGTGACTGTGACTGTAAAATGTGCCTTTTTTTACTATATCATGCTGCATTTTTCTCACTATGCTTTGCCTAACTTGTTGCTACTTCATCATGTTCTTTTTGTATCAGATAAAGTAAAATTTCACACACATGTAACCCTGATGCAGAGACCCCTCTGCATTAGATTTTGCTCATTGTGTTTCATTTCTTAATTCTTGTTTTTGTGTTGTTTTGCAGATCACCAGAAGTTGGAGCGAGAGGCTCGGATCTGTCGCCTTTTGAAACACCCCAACATTGGTGAGGAACTCTTTCTGTTTTACTTCTTCTAATACCAACACAGTGAAACTGTAACTTTGAGAAACTTTATTGATTTTTCTCATTTTATGTCTAATTCATAGTTGGGTTGCAACTAACAAATATTTTTGCAATCAATTAATCTATCAGTTACTGTTACGATTAATTGGATAAAAATGGGTACACACTGCAGATTTTTCATTAAGCTAATTAAATCTATCTTTCTATACAATGTTATTGATATATTAGGTATTTGAAGTAAATAAATAATTCGATTTTCTTTTTTATATTAAAAAATGCTTAAACATAGCATTGAACTGGGCGAATGAAAAAAAAATTGCCACTTGGGGAGGTTTTGGTGAAACATATTGACAGTAAATGGTTTTCTGTACAGTTTGGGCTTAATTACTGCTTTGACTGTTGTTTCTCAGCAACTGACCTTTTTGAGTTTTTATACTCCAGTTAACAGTTAATCAGTTACTAAATTAGTAATTTGAAATCGGATTCATTGTTTCATCCCTAATTTATATTGACAATTTTTATTCCCCTCAATTTTCACACAGTTTACTCAAAATGGAGCAATGTTGATTCTGGTTTTTATTTTTTAAATGAAATATAACAGTGCAAGCCCTCCTCCTGTTGCGTAAGAGTATGATTTTATTTGCAGAACCTCTTGCTTTAATGTAAATACATGACATTCAGCTCTATTATTATGACTCCCTGTGGTTTTATTCCCTCACACGCTCTGGCTGCTGTTTTTTACGCTCCTTTAATCGCTCACTTAAAATGCAGCAGTGATGCTTTTTCAGAGGCAGTTAGAAAAAGCATCAAATTAATCGTTACAGCAAAATACATTTACAATGACTGTACTAAATGTTTGTTCCTCAATCCTCTTACAGTTCGTCTTCACGACAGTATATCAGAGGAGGGTTTCCACTACCTCCTGTTTGACTTGTAAGTCATCCTTCCTCTCTCCCTCCTTTTTTAAAATTTTTTACACACACGCTTCATCATCTTCTTCCTCCTCTCCCTCGATTCCCGCACCCTCTGTGCATATATAGCGTTGCATAACTCTCTCCTATATTCACCCCATCCCTGTCGCCACCGCCACCCTCCGCATCCGTCTCTCTGCAATTCCCTCCAGTTTCCATGGCAACAGTGTGGGAAGAGGGGCGGAGGGGGCATTTTAGGGGGAAACGGGGTGAGCCACGAAATAAACCAAAAAGTGGTGATGAAATCCTTGCTTTCGGATTTCCTTGTGTTTCTTATTTCTGTTGTTCTTTCCTGGAATGTAGTAAAAAAACCAGAAACAAAACAACAACAACATTGGAACATCTTAACGTTGAATAAACGTGTTTTTGTTGATGCAGGGTGACCGGAGGTGAACTGTTTGAGGACATCGTAGCCAGAGAGTACTACAGCGAGGCGGACGCCAGGTAGGAGCGTGGCCTTCGTCTCTCTGCCTCCTCTTCTTCAAAACGTTCCCAGTCTGTTGTCGCCTTGTCTGTAGTTTTCTATGTACTTCTTTATTCCTCTCAATTTCCTCTCCTTTTCCTTAGTTTCTGCTCCTTGTTGTCTTGTCTCACCCCTTGTTTTCAGCTTCATAAATCATAGACATGTTATTTTTCTATCTTTCTTTTCTTACAATTCTTGTTATTTTTTCTTGCTTATTTTTTGTCTCTTCAAAAGGCTGTTTTCCTTTTTCTCGTTCTTATTCTAACTCCTGCAGTTCCTTGCAAAAGTATCTGCACCCCATGACCACATTTTGGCAAATTTCAACCCAAAACTTCAGTGTATTTTATTAGAACAAAGTAGTACATAATTTGAAGTATAAGGAAATGAATACTTGGTTTTCAAAAGGTTTCACAAATGGAATCTGTGTGATATCTACTTGCACTTAGTTCTCCTATGTCGATACTTTGTAGAAGCACAATTTACTGCAAAAAGTTACGTCTCAACAAGTTTTGCTGATCTAGAAAGAGTTTTCTTTCCATCAATTTAAATCATGACTCTTCATGCAGTCTTCCCTGCCAAATTTAGAACTTATTCAAAAATCTTGTAGTTTTTTCCTCATCTTTATCATCGATTGTGATAAATTTCTTACCTCGAAATATCTTTGTCGCAATAAATTCTAATCAATGATGCTAATTAGAATTAAATTGTCTTTATAAAATATTTTGAAAATCATGCATAATTTCCTCCATTTTCTAGTCAGGCATTACATTGTGTTGGTCTACTACATAAAATCTAATAAAATACTTTAAAGTTTGTAGCTTTAATGCAATAAAAAGAAGAAAAATGTTCACTACTTTTGCCAGTCGCTGTAATTTTGCTGTTAGCTGTCTTTTCTCTTTGCTCTTTTCTTTTCACCATTCTTCCCTTTTCCTTTGCTTTCTCCATCGCACTACTTGCCCTCACCTCACACACCGACACATCACACACCTTTAAGACCCAACTTAGGTTTTATCGATGACTTTTTAGCTTAAAAAAACGTCTAGCTTTACAGATTCAACACTAAGTTAGTCTGAGATCCAACACTAAGTTAGTCTGTTGGAGGTAAATATGGACTCTTTTATATAGAAAATTGCACTACTTCTAATTTGTAGGCTATTAAAAATGACATATTTGTGATTTCCATCCAGAGGTCATTCCAGGGTTCTTGCTGAAACAGTAATTTGATGCTTTGAAAGCCGTGGACATCAGCATTTTCGCCGTTTATTGGCTAAAAATAATTGGAACCACCATAAATGTATGTCATTAGCTTTCTGCTGATGCTTTTTAAACTATAATCAGCAGATTATGATTAGTCAAACCTCAACGGTTTCTTTTACAGACTTGGTGAGATTTGCAGGTGCAGTTTGCTCAGGATGCACCTTGTGCTGTTCATCGTTCTTCTGCTTGTCTTCTCCTCAGACAGTGGAAAAGATAAAAACAATGTCAGCAAATCTAAAGTTTGAATTACAGTGACAGTTTCAGTTTCTTTTTTATTGTTTTTTTTCTTTTTTTTTTCCGTTTTCTCCCTTTTACCACCGACTGCGCTGTTTTATGTCGAACGCCCACCGCCCCCTGCTGACTCATCGCCACACACAGTTCACTTTAACAATCGACGAAAGAGGAAACGGAGTAGTGGGGGGTGGACAGACAATAGGCTGAGAGAAGAGTGAGAGAGATACTTGAAACTGACAGTTGTGAGTGTGGGTGTCAGTCCATTCACTAACATTAAAAGCCAAGCAGAGCTGCCTGTCTTTTTAAGCTAAAATCACTGCAGTGTGTGACAGTAAATGGTGGATTTCAGCTCCAGTCTCCACTTTCAAGCCATTTCATTTGTAGCTTGTAATTATTCCCTGTAAGAACTGGTGATATTCCTGATCGAAAGAGCAGATAATGCGCTAATTGACTCAATTTCCAATCCGTATTGTCTTGTGCTTAATGAACTTTATATTCTAATACGCTATTTAAAAGTAGTTCAACATATAAATGGCTTTACTGGCATGTTTAATTCCTAACAGGAAATTGTGGTTCTTTTGAAGCAACTTGATTGGCTTGCACGTGTTAGCTTTGCGCTGCACTGCCCCCTATGGGTTTGGCATGTTTATAACAAGTCTCAGGGATGTTTTATGTGCCAGTGGACCTCATACTTTTTCATCCCTATTAAGGAATTATTGGCTTAACACAAGCTGAAAACTTTCTTGAAAGTTAGCTTTGTCTTAATCCAAATGTACAAAAATATTTTCACTAAAAACTAGAACAAAAATACTTGGTAAGATTCAGGGTTTTTTTTTTGCAGTGTGTGATTGGTTCCTCTTCTTCGTCTACATCTTGTTTAATGGCGGTTGGCAAATGTCTTAATGGAGCATTAGCGCCACCAACTGGTAAGGATTGTGGACCAAATGTTGCTAAAAAAGGAAAGAAATTAACCCCATCTTACAAATAGAATATGTCCTGGTAGCTTTTATTTCTTGAGTCTTTCTGAAAAGCAATGAGAAAGTCTTTGGTTGATACACAAAATAGGACAGCTGTCCCCAGTAATCAGTTGATTTAAAATTACCAGTCATTGAATCTGGACTCGATTAAGAAAAGTGACATGATAATGAAACTAAAATTAAATTAAATGCCGCTCAGCATCAACATGTTTAATCACAGCTTATTTACATCCTCCTCATTATTGTGATTTGTCACAGCTTTTTGCCATGCTGGTCATTTTATTACTTTGTCTATTTGATATTAATCCTTATTAATATGAACCTTCAGTTGTCAGCTATTCAGTGACTGCCTTTTTGTATCAATTTGTTTTTAATCTCGTGAAACAACAATCGTTTTACAGAGAATATCTCATGTCTGTCAATCTTTCCACCTTTTTCACTGCTTCAGACTTTTTAAGGCAGAGGGGTCCAAAGTGTGGCTCGTGGGCTATTTGTGGCCCTCAATGAAATTTTGTGCAGCCACAGTACAGTTAAAAAAGCCTTCACTGACTTTCCAAAAAATATACAGGAAAGTCTTATAAATAAGAAATTTACAACACAAAGTACTCATTTAGTTAACTTTCATATTAACCAGGATAACAAATATTCAGCAACTTTTATTCAAGAGCAGATTTTGTTGAACCCTTTTAGAAAATCTTAGTAAACTCCAATAAAAAAGGAAAAGTTTTTAAGAATGGGCGACTCATATCCTGTTCTTGTTGCTAAGAATAAACACAAAAACTTAAAAGGAAATAGAAAAACCATCAACATTTAAAATCGTGTTTGTATTTTGTTTTGTTTGTTACTTACAGCTTTCCTTTCTATAGAAATCAGGTTTGTTTTTTAAATTATTAGTTGTGCAGATAAAACTATAGCATTTAACTTTATTTTTCTATAGTTATTATTATCATTATTAGTAATCATTATTAGTATAATTATTATAATAATAATTATAACGATAATTATTATTATCATTATTGGTAATAATGATAATAATAATTTCTCTTTTGTGGCCATCGTTTGCTTTCAACTCGACAGTTTTGGCCCATGAGGTTAAAATTTGGACACCTTTGCTCTAAGGCTCACTGAAAATCATCCTCACTACTCCATGCATTTTGTCACATTAGAAGCTCTCTTAAGTCCTAAACATTTATCTTACCGAGGTAAATAACATTTTTTTTTCCTAAAATGACATCAGAAGGAACTACTTTAGTCTTAGGATTCTTTAAGATTATTTGAATCGGCCATATTATTGCAAAGACACAAAAGCTGCAAGCCACCAGAGGAGAACATTTCTGTACAACACTTATTGTAATATCCTATAGAATATGTTTGTATAACGTAAGTTACAAATTACTTTAATTTACAGCCTGATATCCGTAGAAGTTTAAACAGAACGAAAGGAGAGCCAGCACTGCTTGACTTTTAGCTGTTAGCACCACAAGCTTCAACAATTAAATCAGGGCAGATAAAACCTGTTTTGTTTCCCGGCTGAGTCGCTGATTAGCACCCAGGATCGATTTAATCTCATTATTGTAGCTTCAAGAGTGAATAATTATTTTATTATTCAGCAGGTGGGTATAGTTTTATTGGACGGGAAATGCTGGTGTGTTTCCAGGAGCGCCAACAGGTGGCTGAGAAGCCCATAAATCACTCACAGCAGAAAGGTCATATCCAGCAATGTTCAGTAATTTGTTCCCTTTATTGAAAGAAAATCCATCTTATATCGTAGAAAATAATACAACACAATTAAACCTGAAATGTCAAATGTCAAGATTATTTAAAATCTTCTCCATGTTATGAAAACCTTAAATAAATGTATGGCCTTTGAAACATTTAATCTGATGTGGCCCTTCAATGTCAACTAAAATGTGGAGGCCATCACTTATCAAAGACTTGAGGGCAGAGCCTATAAATAAATCAGGATTTACATTTCCTCGTAGTGTTGCCCACAGAATTTCCATCCGGGATGAACATAAGAAAAGGCAAATATACTCTCAGGTGAAAACATAATGATGCACTCAAAAACAAATGACAAGATTCATGCAAGATATGCTGTATTTATGAGTCAAGGTAGATCCAACTCCCACTCGCAGCTGTTCATCATAGCTTATGTTTGAATGTTAGCATACCTGGCCCACCTGTCAAAGAGATTATTATGGGTTTTAGGAAAGGTAGGAATATGTCATACTACATCCGATTTCCTATTTTTATTGATTTTTTTTCTTGCTTTCTTTTCTAAAAAAAGAGATGACAAACTGAAGAAAATATGATCAGAAAGTTGCTTTTATGTCAACCATTCCAGGACTTTTTGTTTAACTAAAAGAATGTAGAAATAATATCAGCAGAATAAAGATGCAATCATTTGAGAAGAAAGTTGTTTTAACAAGGAAAAGAGCTTGAAGAATTAATTAGTTTTTATTCTATGTCTTGGAGTTCTCATAAATTTGTTTCTTCATTCCCCAATTATTATG